CCTGAAAGAGGTCAAAGGAGGGGGAGTCAGGGGGGAGGGGGGAGCACACCGCCACAGTGGTGCATACTTTCTATTAACCTGGTTTTTAGAGGTTGATGACAATATGTTCTATAGTGAAATTTGAAATATTTTACTAGGAAAAAAATCACAGAAACACCTATGCTTGAGCTTATAATTCAAAGACAAAAGAAAAAAAATAATTACTGTGGAAAGGGCATAACTCCCATTTGCATTTTGCCATAGAAATAAGTTAATTATTAGACACACTGCAAATAACTTTTTCCTGTTGTGACTATAATAAGTACACATTTCTCAGGAACAAAACAATATAGAAAATCAGAAAAGAACCAAAACTGCTAAAGAGTAAAGGATGGGTCCGCATGCTAGAATTCTGTGGTCCTAATTCTTGAGAAGAATATCTGTATGGATACACTAAGCTTAGCAACTCTTTGGAATTTTCTATAATTTAACTTGTTCCAGTTTTGCTACGCTTTCTTTTCTTGCAGCTAATACAACTTTACTAATTTCTGCTCTAGCTTCTACAATAAAGTGTCTTCAAGTGAATAACTTGACTATGAAAGAAAACAATTTATTTTTAAATATTACTGTTCTGTCTAGCAGAGCACCAAGTGTCACAAGCTTCTGTTACTGTTTAAATGTGCAAAGCAGCAGTTACATGTAAGTCCTTAATGAAAGCACTCAGATAAAAGCCGATGCTTCTCACTTGCTGTGTTTTTAAGTTTAGTGGAAGAAGTGGAAGTTCAATTTGAATGGAATGTTTTATAGAGATTAATTTAGATTGTCACCTCAAGCAAAAAAAATAAATTATGAGCCACTTTTGAAAGTCATGATAATCACGTTTATTCTTCCCTTCTCCCATTGAGCAAATGGTAATTAAAAATTATGTCACTTTTTTTCTAGACAGTCTCCGTATTGAAACTTTTCTTATTGTATGCAAGGGAAAACTTCAGGCTGAAAAGCCAGATTTCAGTCCACCAAGTTGTGCCTGTTGATGTCTGCCTGTTCAAATGAAGATGAAAATTCTGCAATTCACTCTTCATAGAAGTGAACTATAAAATTTCATATGAGTCTTTTAAAACCCCACACATCTTAATTTTTACACTTTAATCCCATGTTTCCCATACCAAGGCTATAAAATCTAACTGGAGAGAAAATGGTGAATATTCTAGAAGTGCAATGCATTCTTTCTATGCGTGACATTTTCCCATGTCTTTTAAATAAATGTTTGTGAACTACAGAGATTTTCAGTTATGAGTATTTTTGTAGCACCTTGATGACAGCAAGAAAAAAAAGTTTGAGGTGAATTTATGTAGTGTAGCACAATAGTCATATTAAGAAGTATTAAAAATCAGTTCTCATGTTCAAAGCACTTTAAAAGTTTAAATTATTTTAGTTTCACTATACAGTCTAACAACCATGTAATTAAAAGTGTCCAGTAATTATGGTGAGGGCAGTTAGAAATAGTTGTTAGAATCAGTTGCTCAAAGAGCCATTCCCTCATGAAGGAGTTGTCTGCTTGGGACTCTAGGAGTTTTCCCCCAGTTCTTCTACGTTTCTGCTTCCTGATTCCCAATGACTTCTCCTTTGTTGAGGTCGTGGCTTAAAAAAGAAGTTTTATGAAGCAGTAGAGTAATTTCAGCAGTTAAGCAGGGGTGCATCTGACTGGACACAGGCAGGATTTTGTGCTAGTTCTGCACATGAAGAAATGGAGGAGTTTCCCGCTTCATTGCAAGGGCTCCTCCTACAGGTGTCCATTATTTCACAGGTTTGTTTTCAGTTTTTACGAATCGGTGATGCTGCCTTACCCTTGGCTACTCCGAGGACTGGCACTTCTGCCCTTGGCTCAGGAAGCCAGCAACTCATTTTTTTCTATCACTTTGTCCCATTGTTACAATCTGAATCTTTTTAGTCATCTTCTGTTGCTTTTCTCCAGTACCGTCATCACCCATTTCCAGTCATGCAGTGTCCTGCTGCACACTGACTTTTTTTTCTAATAGAGTCTCTGTTATTCCTTTCAGTTTCTATTTTCTAAAACTGCCCTGTTTGGATCTCCCGAACCAGCATGCAAGCAAGGCTTCCATCTTGTTGAGTCAATCCTACTTGTAAGCATACATACAACTATATACATATTAACTCCAAAACATTAATTTGTTGTCATTTTTAAAAAACTGGGAAAAACAGAGATTTTAAAAGTCAGGCTAAGATGACTTTCAACCACTTGGCATTAAATTTTGTCTGCTAAGGTTTTGTCATTGTACAATCTGCCTAGTACACAGACCCAATATTGTAACTTAAAGATCACAGGAAAACCCAATCCCACACCTGTATTTGTGAAAGGAGGGAAATACATGTAAAAGACCAGACCTTCCAGGAAGTAAGGCTGATTAACAGCCCCTTTTTCATCTAATACAGGGATAGATTAAGGTTGCAAAAAATGCAAAAAAACCTTGCCATTGCCTGCTGTACTCCCCTGCTTTTTGCATCAGCACTACTAACTTTCAGAGAAGGCAGCAAAAGGATAAAAGTTTTAAATTATTCCATTTTTTCTATTTAGTCTCCTGTTGACCAAGGTGTTAAGCATATCAGGGAGTGCACATCTGGTTCTGTATTGTGCTGTCACCTGTATGTTTCTCTCCGTATTCTAAGTTATTTCTTTCTGTATTTATTTACTGACTTTTGGTCTAAAAGCTTTAGGTTTTTTTCTTGTGGTGCTTTGAAAATTTGCTTATGGGAGAGATGGCATGGCGCATGGGTGCGGGGAAGCATTGAGATATAAATTGCCTGGGAGAAAACAAAAAGGTCTTGGCACACAGCTTAGTCTATGACTGATTTTTAGTGAAGATGGTTTTGAGAAGAAAAAGCAATTCTACCCAGTCTGAAGAGATTGTATAATTTTTATCGACAGACATGAGTCTGGCGGCCTGTGTTCTGCTGAATTTCATACTTAGCAGTTGTAGTGGTGGGGGACAAGCTAAATCACTAAGTTATAAGACGGAAAAATTATCCACTTTCCTCTCTTCTCCTGTCTATTCTGCATCAAAAGCAAATTAATGGTTTCTTACACTGACTTGATGACATCAAGGGAAACCGATTCTTCACGCGCTAGGACGAAAATGGATGCTACTGTGGCTATAGATGGTGGCTCCAGTTGAGTGGCTCCTATTCCTGCATGGGATAACAAATTGAATCCATAGCTGCTAGGCTCAGCTTTACTAATCAGCTTTCTTTCCTTTAAAATTGTTGTTAGGGGAAGCCACTCACCTTAGCAAGAATATACATTTGTCCCAAAAGATTTATGGTGAAAAAGGAAACTCGCTCAGTTCAAAGTCAGTACTTGGTATTATCAAGATATCCTCTGGCTCAATAATGCTTGATTCCAAGACAAAGGAGTTTCAAATGTCTCAAGGGTTTGAATAAGAAGCTGGATCTACCTTTATTGTTTTAAGTTCTGTGCTGAAGCCCCTAAGCACCATTTAAAAAAAAAAAAAAAAAAAAATCTATCCAGAAGCTATGTAACTGCTGAGTGGTGTTTGCCCCCTTTAAAAAAAAAAAAAAAAAAAAAATCTATCCAGAAGCTATGTAACTGCTGAGTGGTGACTATGGCTTGTCACACTGTAGTGACCTTGTTACTGTGTTCTCCCCTTGTCCATTTTTTATCTGTGAGCACACTTGTATACTTCTGGCTCAGGAATTTATTGGGAATTAGTTTAACAATAACTTCATGTCATTTTCTGAGAAAAAACTAAGTTGTTGTGCCTTTAGCAAAAAACCCCACCATAAACAGCCCCCTTCCTCTCAACAAAACAACCCAAACATTATGGCTTTTTTTTTCCTGTTGGTATGCGCATGTTTGCTGCAAGAAGAAATTGGCCATATAAGAAGATTGTATAGCTAATTAGACATAAAAATCCCACCACATGTGGAAAACAAAAATATCGTTTATTTTGTAATGTATGTTTTAATAGCTCAGGGTGATAGCTCTAACTAGAGGAAACTGAAAGTGTGATTTCTGTCTTCAAATTAATGTTATTTTTTTAAATCTGTGATTTTGAAAATACTAAAGATCACAAAGAATACTGTCTTTATGTAGATATGATGACTCAATTTGTGCATTTTAGAAAAATAACGCTATTTTCTTTTTTACAGTCTGCTGTGTGTGGCTTAGAAACAGGTCTGTACAAATAGAAAGTTTTTAAAAAATCCAATTTCTGATCTATGATTGCTAAAATAAACTAAAAGTGGCATACTTTCTTTACATGCCTAGAACTTTTGTGGTACTATCCTTTTTAAAATTTTCTCTCTTGCTCTATCCCTGAAAAACCAGATTCCAGTCAAATTTGTCTTCCACATCTCAATGCTCCCAGGAACTTGCCTCCCTTCTCAGATGGATTTCTAGTTGCCTCCCAACTTCTCCCTGACAAACTCTTGAAGGATAAGGGGCATTGCTCAGCTCTGCAGGAGAGGAGGAGTTCCATGTTTGTTGCATAACTTCTGGTCTATGCAAGGGACACTGGAATTCTGACAGGTTTTTTTGGCTCATTGTGTTGTCAGGGACACAGGATTAGTTCATGAGTCCCAGGGCTATTACGTTTTGCAAAGTATGCATTTTGCATACTTTTTTAAAAGTATGGCTTAGTTTCTTTTACAGCAAATGTTTTCACCTTATGTATAATGAAAGAGATATGTATATACTGGTACAGAAAACATTGCACAAATGTGATCTACAAACTTATCTAGGATTATGACTTTATCTGCTTATATCATAGCTCATTTGATTTTTATCAGTCACTGCAGCTTGAGACAAACAGTTTTCATCTAGCTAAACAAGAATGGGAGTAGACATCAGGTTCTTCATTCTGTGATTTCTAGAGAGATTTTTCTGGATGCATGGGAGAAGAATGGCTTTGTTATTCATAAACTGATACTGAAATTCAAATTCAAAGTGTGATTCCCCCTGCCCCCCATTTTTTTTTTCCCCAATGTCAGATAAACATGCAATCCAGAGACTGATGGACAGATGGAGATATGTTAGCTATGATCAGCCTATTTTAATTCCTGGTTATATTTCTTCACAAGGTTCTGCTCCTGAACTGAGAAAGTGGTACAGTGTCCCACCAGCAGATCTTTATCATCTCAGTGCTGTGTTGGTTGAAAAAGAAGTTGAAACACAATTTCAGTCCGATTTCATGAATGTGAGTTGGAGCCTCAGCACAGATGGTAGGGTTGTTGTCAAGAGTGGCTGGTGGGGATTCTAAGGAGAATAAGAAAATGAACTGCAGAGGGTAATCCTGGAAATGTGACATGAGCAAATAAAAGGTACCCTACTGCCTTTCAGTTTACCTGTCAACGTTTAAGATAGCTAATTTTTCTGTAGAGATTGGTTTGTATAAAACAATGTGCTTCTGAATTAATAAAGGTGTTTTCTCCTGGGTTTAGTGATCTATTAACTGACTGTGGCTTTGGATGCGTCGTTGCAGTGAATGCAGCCAGCCCCTCTAAGGAGCAAATATATGTTCAGTAAAACTTTTGGTTTATTAATGACATGGTTGCAGTTATAAATACAGAAGTAACTATGCCGTTGGGAACCCTGGACAGGAGAGGGCTTGTTGGCAAAAGTACTACGTTGACAAAAAACAGCCAAGCTTTTGGGCACCAACCTTTCTTTATGTTAGAAATAAAAGCAGTGGATGTCAAAGCTAAATACAAGCTGGAAAAATTGTCTGGAGTCTAGGGAGGAGACTATCTTACTCATACACTCACAAAAGACACGGTAGGTGTTATTTGTGGAGGGCAGGGGGCATAAAGGTAGCTTATAGCCCGTGGACATGGAGAGGGTGAGAAATTGTAATATTCTGTAAAACTTCAGAGTCCATTTTTCCCCAGCAGAATTATGAATTCTGGTTCCCGGATCTGGGACCACACTTATTAGAATATAAGATATTTTACATAGGATTATCTGCCTTCAATGGGATGTTTTTAAGTCTGCAATGAAAAGACCAAAAATCACTTTATTAGAGCTGCAAGAACAGACAGAGGTACAAAGACCCAGTGGAAGTATACCTTTGACTGAGCAGAGAGCTGAAATGCAGAGCGTATTAGATGTTTTGTGCTTTAATAACTTGGATGTTTTTTTGCTTTAGTGCAATGAGTGTGACATGAGCTGGATAAAACAAATTGAGAAAGGTACTATAGTCTCTGGTGTTAGTTCTGTAAATAGGGCAAATGAAAATACATAGCAAATTTTAAAATTGCTGTGTTCTATTTAAGGAAATGATTGTCACAGAAGCTTTCTTTGTTTAATGTTCTATGATGTGAAACAACTTATTTTTTTATTGATCAGCAAGTGTCGTCTTTACTTCTTGCCAGCATCACAGAACTGATAGCCACTAAGATTTGTGTGACCAGCAAAGGGATTGTTGAACACTTTCAGTGTGTTTGATGCAATTGTACAGAAAAGTTTCAAAGACAAACTGCAGTCAGCAACCAACGAGTAAGAATATTTTTAAGTAGTTGTTTTCTTCATTTATTTTAGTTTAGGAAGAAAAAGGCAGGGAATAAGGAAGTGACAATTAAAAGTATGGAGTAAAAATTTCCCTTCTGCTGAAGTTAGTAAAAAGGGACCTGAGAAAGAAAAAACGGTAGTTTCATACTTCCTTGAGATGTTTAATGAAAGAGGGATTTGAGCCCTGTGTTTTGGGAGACTGAGAACAAAGCTATGGGAAAATTATCTGTGTATTTTCTGTAACTTCATCTCTCCTGTTCTCAAATGGATGCTTAGAGCTGGGGTAACACAAGCCAGAATTACATGATCTGTCATTGGATTAACTGGGACAGAGGATGGTGTGAAAGGGGACAAACCTCCTTCATTGTGGGCTAAAATTTTAATTATTTCATATTGGCTGCAAGCTGTAGGTGTGCATACACGTAATGATGAAATTGACACTTGATATCTTATTCCTGTCTCTGAGTTTGGATTTACCTTTTCCTAGAAATCTATTTTTGTCCTTTTTAAGTGCACTTTTCAAGTAACTGTTAGCAGTTACCAATATATCTAAATTCTCCTCTGTTAAACGTGATCCCATTAGGATTGTATATATATATTTTTGTATTAAGTTCCTGAAGTGAACTTTTCTTCATTTTTATTTTAGTGGCAGTTCCATTACATTGGATTCCCTGTAGAACTGGAAACAAAATATTTCATCCATGCTTACAATCTACCCCCAGCAAATATAAAAGAGGATTTTCCATCAAAATCCATTCTGTTAATTACACCAGGTAATTTATCAAGTGTTCTCTGCTAAATGATACTACTGGGGTTTTTTTCCATCCATGTTATTGCACAGATTTCTTTATTAAGGACAGAAATGGCTTCGGTTTTCAATGTGTTTTGAAAACTGCCCAGTGCCCTACAAGGTCATCAAAGCTGAGATCTCAGATGCAGCCAGCTCTTTAGCAATTGTTGTTTGGCTTTATTTTTTTTTTCCTGTGTTTGCTTGTCACATCTTTTAGCAACAGAGAGATGGATATTGTTTTTCAAAGGAAAAAATATTTTTTCTGCTGTCAATTTTAAGAGAATTTGCGCTTTTAGCTAGACAGTTATTCAATGCAGTTCTTAATAAACATTAATCAGGAATATTATTATTTCTTTAAAATTGCAAGGCAGCCTGTAAGTTTAGAGGTGCTTTAAAGAAGACCATGTTTTGACTTGTATTGTTGGGAGATAGAGAGATAATATGCAGAGCAGCCTGACAATGGGATGCTTTTCCTTTGGTTTGTTTTAATCTGCAGTAAGATAATCACTGGTAAACAGAAAGACCGCTGGGATTTTTTTACTTAATGCCTAGTCATCGCTATTGCATTTTAGGCAGCTGTCTATGAAGATTATGTAAGTGGAGTGTGTTTTCGTGAGTGCATGCATGTGTTTGAGGAGACGGTGATAGAAAATAAGACAAAAACCACTGTTCTTGGAGCAGGAGTTACATAGGTTAGTTCCTATTTTGAAAAAAATATTGTACTTGGGGATTAATTTATCTATATTTTAATAGACTTTAGTGAAAATGCACACAGATCATGCATTTGCTAAAATTTTAAATATCCATTTAAATTCACAGGCTGTAAAGATAATGTAAGGAAATATAGCAAAAGTTGTATTGAAATAGGTAAGTGCTATGTACACATATAGACATCATACTGAAGGGGGAAAAAATAACTCTTCAAAAGCATTTCGCAGCATCATCTTTGCTGGAATACCAAATAGGGTCTAAGACCTACTTCTGGATCTTTCTTTGCCTTAAAATGGGAATTTTGAGAATTCTCTTACAGTTTAATTTAGATAATAATGCCATATTTTAAGCTGTGAATATGGGATGGAGAAGTTTTTTTGGTTTCTTTGAGATGATGAATTTAGTCTAGTTACTGGTTGCTACACTAAGATAGAACCTTTAGTAGACTAAACAAAATTCCTTGCAGATTTGGGCATGCAGATGTGTCATTAATACTAAGTATTACTGTGTGTACATCTGTTGCACGTTTAATGGACTAGATATTTTTGCCTCACACATCTTCAAGCAACAGTGCCTGGATTCAAACAACTGCAGGGTGTCCCTGTTGTAACCAACACTTCTGACTTGCCCCTTCAAAAGTACGAAGACTCTGTGAGGTCATAAGGTGTCATCTGCAGGGTTTGTGGTGCCTTTCACAAGCACTGTTATAGCAGAAATCCGTTTCATCACTTACGTAGTTGTTAAAAATTTTGAACTGAAATCTTTTCAACCCCCGGGAAGTTTGTGGAATCCGAATATAACTGTTTGTAAAATAGAGACAGAATTAGAAGTGAATTTTACAACAAGCAGTCTTGGGCTTGAATATTTAGTATTATCATAGAATCATACAATGTTTTGGGTTGGAAGGGACCCCTAGAGGTCATCTAGTCCAACCCCCCTGCAGGAGCAGGGACACCGCTAACTAGATCAGGTTGCTCAGAGCCCCATCCAACCTGGCCTTGAATGTTTCCAGGGATGGGGCCTCCACTACCTCTCTGGGCAACCTGTTCCAGTGTTTCACCACCCTCATTGCAAAGAATTTCTTCCTTATACCCAGTCTAAACCTACCCTGGTTTAGTTTAAAACCATTACCCCTTGTCTTGTCACTGCTGGCCCTACTAAAAAGATTTTCCCCATCTTTCCTATAGGCCCCCTTTAGGTACTGAAAGGCCGCAATCAGGTCTCCCCGCAGCCTTCTCTTCTCTAGGCTGAACAAGCCCAACTCCCTCAGCCTGTCCTCATAGGAGAGGTGCTCCAGCCCCCGGATCATTTTTGTGGCCCTCCTCTGGACCCGCTCCAACACTTCCATGTCCTTCTTGTGTTGAGGGCTCCAGAGCTGGACGCAGTACTCCAGGTGAGGTCTCACCAGAGCTGAGTAGAGGGGCAGAATCACCTCCCTCGACCTGCTGGCCACGCTTCTCCCGATGCAGCCCAGAGTACGGTTGGCCTTCTGGGCTGCCAGCGCACATTGCCAGCTCATGTCCAGCTTTTCATCCACCAGCACCCCCAAGTCCCTCTCAGCAGGGCTGCTCTCGTACTTCTTGAAGAAAACATGGGAACAAAGGTCATTTTTTTAAAAATCATAATAAATTGAAAGCATAGTTCTCTAAATTCACTTTCTGTATTAGCACAGCAGGAGGCATATGCTTCCACTGACATTAAAGCAGCAGAGCTGGCCAGCAGACACCAAGGAGATGGTCTAAAAGAACTGTGGTTGTTTTCATGAGAGCTCTGGTCCACTGTTACAAAGTTATTTTACTTTGAGATTATATTCTTTGTTTTTAAGAATGTTTTTAAACAATATTATTTTATTCAGTGTGAGATTAATCAATGAACGTGAAAATGTAAGAAAATACATAGTAACTATAGTAATTAGGCTTAACTAACATGAAATGCACCTTGCTTGTAGTTCCTACTCAGATATTCACCCTGGTTTGTTTTATTAGACTAGAGGATTTAGAGATAAGTATATGCACTATCTATAATTCTTATGTTAAGAATATATACTAGTGTTAAAGCCTATTAAATGCAATTTGAAATGCAATTAAATACTAAATGTGATTTAACTTAGTAATGACTCCATTTGCGATAAATGTCTTTCTCCTTCCCACATTCTTCTTCAGAATTTCATTTCACAATCAGATAAATGAAACTAATATTTCTGTGAGGATACCAGCGAGTGATGAGAGCACTGATATTTTTATAGCGGTAAGTAACATTTTTTATTTATTTTCAGTGAAAAGAGTTGGGTTTGTATAGATAATTGATGGGAAGAGTTGTACTAATTCTGACTAACAAACAAGATGCAAGCATAGCACTGAATATCACTTTTTTTTCTTATTAGAATTTTTTTTTACTTATGAATTAGTAGATATCAATCCTCTTCTCATGGTGGTAATATAAGTCTATGTTGTTCTGCATAGTGTCCCTGTGCTATAAAGCTTAAAGCAAACATACCTGATATGTTTACACCAAATTTTCTTAGATTCTTACTTATCTCACAAATCTCTCTTCATTTTTTCTTATTTGTATCAGTTGTAAGGAAACTATCTTTCAAGAAAATCTGGTAATGGTTTTAGGAAACACAGTACTCCTATCAGGAACCCAAACCATAGTACAGAAGGAAATGCACAAAAGGAATTAATCTGTGCTGAAATCCCATTTAACTGTGTATTGGAATTATTCTACTTCCTGCCCCCTCCCCCCGATAATTCCATGCTTTGCGAAGTGTGGATATGACTGCCCAAGGCCTACAGAAAACCTAACAAACTGTGTGCAGATGAAAGCCAATGGTTAGTTGAGTATTTATCATTCTTGAGTCAATATTCAATGCAAACTAAACAGAAACTGATGCTCAATATTTTCTGTTGCATTATATATTGTGTATATTCGACAGATTTTCCCCTGTATGTTTTCAAAAATCTGGGAAAATAGATGTTTTGGTAGACAGATATTTGAACATCAAAAACCTGTTAAAAAGCAGATAATGTTGGTCTTAGATGACTTTATGTACACTGGTCTTGGCAAATTTTGCCCTTCATCTTCTTCTTGAAGTTTTATGCTTAATACAGTAATGCTGCAGTTCAATAATTAGTTATTTTGTGGCTAGTGCTCATGGTAAAGTTCTAAACAAAAGGGAAGAGCGAACAAATGATGAGATGCCAGGCTGCAGCAGGAGGTATGTCCCAGAAACATGGGAGGAACTTGGAGGGAGCAGATTCAGACTGATATGGCTCGTTTCTTTCAAAGTAGAGAAGAAAATTGACTTAGTCAACAGGTCTGTAGTTCTCATGTGATTATTAACGCTTTTGCATTACCTTTTAGCACAATTTCTCTTCCATCTGCAGACACTGGAAATGCTCATTTCAATAATTCGTTAACTGAAGACAGCTTTTCAGCTGTGCAAGACTTGTTTCAAAGTGATTGTTCTTTCTCTTTTAGAGAGCCTCATAATCAATTCAGTTGGAAGATTTGTGTTTTCTCCTTGCTGCTCTACTTGCAATAATGTGTAGTATTGCTGCAGTAGCTTGTGTCATCACAGAGGTAAGAGTTCTCACTTTTTTGAACTTCAGCATTTCTGTAATTCCCTTTCTTTGAGTTTTGCTGCAAGCATCCTTTTAGATGAGATAAGATCACATGAAAGAGACTACCTTTTAGGTATCATTGTAAGAGAAACACTCTCAAGTTTTTTTAGTAAACTCCAGATGTGTCTATGTTAATGTTTTAGTTTAAATCAGTATTGCTCTTTTGAAGGGAACCACTAGCCTCACTGCAGTTTGGTTTGTATTGCAGGGTGGTTGAGGAGTGCAGTTTTGATTCTCTCAGGTTAAATCAAACTGGAAGATGTGCCCTAATGAATATAACATGGTCCAGCCACTGTTGGGCATGCAGGCCACAGGACTGGACTAGGACTAGGCTGCAGTAACTCCCCTGAAATACTTAGTACAGAAGCATGTTCCTTGGCCCCCGTTGTTATGCTTTGTGGTCGCTGCCATTCCACCACACTACCAGCTAATGTAGGCTTAGTCTTTTTCCTTCCATTGTTTGTTTTTCCTAAATGGAGAGTAAATATTTAATCTCTAAAACACTTGTAAAAACAGTGAATTTTAGAGTGTGGACAATTTTTGGTTTGCCCTTTCTTCTTTAGCAAACATTAACTGGGGTAATGTGAGCTTTTTGCTGTTTAATTTTTGTTTGCTTAGCACTTTTCTTTACAGCGTTAGTTTTGCGGAATGACTAACAGATTAAGTACCACGGCTCTGCTACCCTCTTCTCATCAGTCTGTAATGCAAAGCTGCTCCCTTGGTGTAGTAGACCTTAAACTCTTCTAGCTACTGAACACTGTTTTGCTAAATTATTTTCAACATTCTTGGAGAGATGAAGTGCAGAGAAGTTGTCAAAGTTGGATGTATTTCATCATGAAGATGGGATCTAGTTTTTCTATTCAGTATTTTTGCTTTTTGTACTTTTATACAATAATACTTTTTTGCTGAACTCCTGCATGAGGGCTTCCAAACTGATGTTACTCTAGATGTGGGAGAAAAGGAGAATTGCTGAAAAAGGTCCTGCACGATGGCTTGCTGCAAAAAAGCAGCAGCAAATAGGGTGATTTTCCTCAGTTCAAACCCTACCACTGGTGCATGTAAAGCATGAGTAACCATAGTAACATGGCAAATACATTCACTCTTGCAGTTAACCTCTTCTGCAGTGACATGACAAAGCACTCCTCTGTACAAAAATATATAGTTGTTTCTTTCCATGAGGTGAGTTCACAAGACACTTTACCAAGGGCTTTGAACTTCTGTCCAAAATACTGTCTTATGAAGGACATACATTGAGAACTTTTGCAGAGACCTCTCTGTTTCATGCAATGAGGTGCATGGCAAGAAACAGGAAATTAACAGGTGCCTGGATATTGAGCTCTAGTCTTACAAAACGGAGGACAAAAGCATCAATAGCTGAGCAAACAGTAGGGCGCTGTAGCTACTGGGCCATATTTAATATAAGCTTACTTATTTGAAATAAATCCTCAACAAAACATTTCTACATTGTGGCAAACTAAGAAGTGACTTCCGTAGTAAGAAAGGAGAGGGCAAGAAATTTGTGCTCAAGTAAAACTCAGTCAGAAGCAATTGGTTGTGTAAATACCAGAACACAGTCCATCGAGTAATTTAGAAGTACTGCTGTCCTCTGTGTAGACTTTGTGAAGTTCGCTGATAGGAGCCTCAGGTGCAGTTAAGCAGCACAGGTTTTCCAGCATGACTTAAAGGCCGGTTTGCTGATTCTGTTACTTGGTTGAGTTACAGTGTGCATTTACAGCATGTCTGATACACTGCTGTAAGAATAATGTAGCTTTTAAAGTGGAGTAATTTACCTCACCCTTCAGGGTGTTCAAGTGTCAGCACCCACTGATGTGAAGTTGTGAAATGTTTGCTGTGGAGAACCATTTGTGTATCAACAAATCTAAACAAGATCTTTGTATATATGTACTTTCTCTTCTGTATCACAATCATGCAATTAAAAAAAAAAAACCATTTCTTCTATAGCAGGAATTCCAGCCTCCCCCAAAAACCAAACCCAGCAATGACATTTAATCTTGCCAAAGTAAAATCTGAAGTATTGTATGTATCTTCAATAAAAAAGAGCCCAAAGGTCCTAGTCTTAAATAAAATACAAGCATGTAATCACAGCCTACAGTAAACTACTTTCAGATAAAATTACAGCATAATTTAGGTAGCAATATCCTTTCTTTCTAGAACTTTAATGAAAGCAGATTAAAAGGAAGTCAGTTCTTTCTTGTGTGCTTTGTAGAAACCACATTCATTGATCTTTGATGTTTATTGTAATGTTTTAAGGGTTTTTTAATGTGTTTTAATCTGGATTATAATTGCAGATATGGATTTGAGGTGTGATCTGAGGATGGCAGGAGCCTTCATTACAGAAGAAAAAACCCCAACAAACAGCACTTCTGTAACTAAGGATTATTGGTTGGGAGAAAAAGCCCGTATGCCTGTACCACAGGACTGAGGTCAGTGCTGACTATATAAAAATGCATCTAGTTCTTCTGAGTGTATGATATTAGATTTCTTAAATAGGGAAAAGTGTGGATAACTGCCATGGATAATGAAAACCTACAAGAGCTTTTGACAATGAGAAGAGGCAAGAAAAAATACTCCACTTCCAAATTCTTAAGTTTTTCCACCGAGTAATGTAATTTATTATATGAGCAAAATACCAACAGCAACTGTAGTTGGGCTTCTCCATTTCACTTTCTCCATGATGGTCACTTACATGACAATTTTATATCCTGGTAACATTACAGTATGAACCAGAATAAGGCATTAAACCCATTGCCTGCACTCTTCAGCTATTGCTTCTGTGTACATCTGTTAACATCTGCCATGTCAATTTTACACCCGATTCCCACACAGTGCAATCTTAATATAAGTATCTACATAATATAAATGTAGTGCATTTGGAGATGACTGTGATACTCTGTACACAGAATTCAATGCATACAATTCAAAAGATGAAGCATAGCAATGCTGAAGACTTTTCCACCACTTTTGGAAAAATCTCAGTTGAAGTTAGTTTTAATAAAATACAAAAATATCTCTCAGCAGAAGATCAATACATCTTCACTGGAAAAAGGGGGCGTTTGGGGAAAGGAATCCTCAGTTAATCATGTTCCACTGTAAACATAACCATTACCATACAAATGCAGCTCGCTCTCGTAACATTCTGACACCAAAACGCTGCCATTCTCGCTGATATATCCATAGTTCCTGAGTTGTATCAAGACAGGCCAAAACTGCACCTCCTTTCCATGCTATTAAGCGGGGATCCATATCCTAAATTTGAAACACAGATTGTACACAATCACTCGTGTAAATTTGCATAGTTCTCAAAACTTGCATCCTAATTTTTCCAACAGTATTCACCACTTTGAATCTCGGGGATGAAAAAAAGTTCTTCAAAATTATTCAGGAAAAATAGTGTGATAAAAATATGGAAAGAGTATTTAAGGTCACTTTTTAAGATGCCTTCTAGGCATGTCATGGAAATCCTGCCTTCAGCAATGGAGGCTCTGAAAAATACTCAAGTTTTGTTTTTACAAATTTTGCCTGGCTAATGCCGAATGAAAATTTCTCTTCTAATGCTATACTTTCTTTTACTGTAATAGTAAAAAACCCCCTAACACAATTTCTTGCTGAACAAACAGGTTAACTTCATGGGCCAGTACTAACTGCTTCAAGAATATGGCCTTTAGCTAATAAACACTAAGTCTTCTCAGACATGCAAATAAGCTATGGTTTTGAAAGAATATGTATTTTTTTCATCTTTTGAAGATTTCAACCAATCATAGTTTATTAACAATTTAGCTATCAGTTAGCAGTATACCTTAGGTCTTGTGATGACTTCAACATTTTCAACAACTCTTCTAAAAGAAGGTGGCATTTTGTTGAGAATTCGGTGTTGAAGAAACTCTTGAGCTTTATGAAACATAAGACCTCCTCCCACTACTAAGATGGAACTGTACATCTTCTTTTTTGTATCATCAGATGCTGGAATGAATGGATATATAGAAATAATCTGTTTTTTTGAAGTTAATACAGCCTGTATTTGTATTATGAAGAATTTAGTGCAAGTCAAACCAGACAGAAACCAGTAAGTGTTTGCTTTTAAAATTTTTTGCGTTCCTTGGAGATACGAAACATCCAGCACAAGAAAACTCAACAAAGATGCAAGTATAAGGAACAGTGTTAGATCACAAAAACTTAAGGGACATACATGTTACTTTGGTAAAATATTGGAGTTACCATAAATCCAAACTGACTGACATGCATATTTTACAGAATTGTCCAAATGTAATTCTTACCGCAGCAGTCAATACTATGAAGAATGGCTTTGTCAAGGCCTAAGGCTTTGCCTTCAAACTGAGAAATAGCCGTTTTCCTGGACATGGGTGCAGTTAAAGGTTCCTCTGAGTCATTTCCAGATATCATACAATCACTCTGGGAAGATCCCAGTTCCACTTCTTGTGGGTAGAGCCTTTCTGAAATGTCTGAGGCTTGGCCTCTCAAGTCTCCTTCAAAAGCACCAGGCTTCGACATAGATTTTCTATCAGCTGTAGCTTTTGCAGACTTAGAAATGAGAAAACAGGTTGAACTATGAAAAATGCAGAAAGATCTTCAGCAGGTTACAGAACAATACACAGGCTTAATCAACACCACTGTACTTCTCGTCACCTTTTTGCACAGAAAGCTTAAGCATCGTATTACTTCATTTTAATTCTCGCTTTCAAAGTACGGGTTTTATTTTGAACTCCATCAACTGTATCAATGCCGTAATATGAAGCCCTCTTAAACTCTGAAAATAAACTGTTTTAATTAAGGGCTTGTCTAGACATCCATAATTCCTTACTCTAAATTTACTTTTTAATGCTTCTGGCCCAGATAACACACTGGTTTCTGAGATGAGCTGATGAGTCCTGATTTTATTCCCCAATTAAATAACACTTAATGAAAAACAAAATGAGCATTCACACACCTGCTCCTGCTTACTTTGTGTGGCTAGCAGATAATGTTCATCATGAGGATCCTCAGGGTCACCTTGTGACCTGTGTTGCAAAGTTGTCATTTTTTGTCCAACAATTCCAAAAGTTGCTGGATAAAATAGAGCCATTGGGGCCTGAAGAATGGGAGATTTAGCATGGTTTTACTACACAGGGTTTGGGTGGGGTTTTTTTGTATTTACTATAAGAAAAAGCTTGTTCTATTTTTCTCACAATTGGAAATTAAATACACATTTTTTCAAATAGTTTTGTAAAAGGCTAAACAGTCTTCAGCTTTGTATAATTAGAAAACTCCCCAAACATACAACTGTACATTTATATAGGCTATCTTTACAGATTCTGGCATTGTATGATAAATAAGTATTCAAATGCAGTTTGTTACAAAATTAGAAAATGTAATGGTGAGGAGAAAAACTTGCAAAATTTAGCCATTTTGGCTAAAGCAAGTCAGGAAGTCTTGTGCATCCATTAGTGCTGCATTAGGCCCATGCATACATATAGAAATTAATTTTATAACTATCAACAAGCATATATTAAAAACAATCCATAAATCATGTGGGTTTATTAGCACTGGACTGATACAAAGTGAGGCCCTAAGCCTGAATGCTGAATATAATTCTTGCAATTTAAAAAAACAAAAACAAAACCCCCACCTGTAATTTTTCATCTCCTAATCGGAACTGGTACAATAAAGCTGGAGAATCTGGATGACGAATCTGGAACTCATGGTCTTGCAATCCAGAAATATCCTAAGGTCAAAACAGTGTAAAAAAATGGAATCTTTTATATCTCTCTATCAAGCTGCATAATCTATTTAAACTGTAGGAAACAACAAGAAGTAACAGAAGTCTTCATATTGTGAATTTCATTTACCTATTCTTGAACTCTTTTTCAAGACTTTTCCTTATAGCACAATATGCCAAACAGCTTTCTACATGCCTAAGCCTCTAAAAGGAGGGTTTGTTCAGAAAGAAGAGAGCTGCTGGCAAATCTTAGAAAAGAAGTTGAAAAGCAGCAAATACGTAGCTACTATCAGCTTCCTTCAGTAATGAGAACAAAGAAACTATCTTTCTAAGAGTTGGGATTCTTTCAAGTATAAGAAAAACAAAACAAGTTACAAACACTTCAAGTCTCAAGCTTCTCCAGCTTTTGCCAGTACTCTACTGAGTAAAATACTACATTTACTCAATTTACAAGCAACTGTAGACTCACAGAAGGGTTCCCCAGAGTAGCATTCTGTAACGAAAAAAGAATTACTTGGAA